TCGAAGAGTATGAGATATGAACCCCGCCGAACACGGAGGCGGCTAAACGCGCAGTGTTTCAAACCGGCAAGCGAATGATCCATTAAGGAGGTTTGCCTGCAATCATAAAGAATGGCCACCTCGTTCACCTCTCTGACTCCTTAATCGTTGCTTTAGAGATGCTAGACACTCAGTGTTTATTAGGATATATATATATAAAAGACACGTAAATATGGGTTTATGCATGTGGATTCATTTCAATTCTTAAGGCGGGGAAATTATGGAGTTTGAAGTGAACACGCAGTCGCTCTTTTAATGCTAGCAACCAAAGTGCAGCGTTAGTATAAACCGCAATCATTCCTGGTTAAACATTTTAGCTTCACGAGTCATAATTAGCTTGGACATATAACAAATGTTGTTAGTAGATATGCGTCGGGAATTTTGACGCATTTTTAATATCATTTTGACGATTTTCATATTCCAGATTCGGTGTCAATAAAAATGAGAAATTCTGATCTGCCATACGTCAGTAAAGGTTTCTTATAGGTAGATGGGTCAATTTTAAGAAAAGGATTGTTTTTTCGGTGAAGGTAAAACTCAGCGTTTAAGTAGCCAAGGGTTATGGTTACGTTTAACGCTTACTGTAGAATTAGGGTCTCGGTTATGTTTGGGGTTAAGATTAGGACTACTGATGTTTTAACTTACCACACTAACAGCCTACGTAGTAGCTTAAAGGCTCAGATACGTGTTTCGCCGGTATTCTGCCGCTGCCTGACAAAGCTGCGAGGGGTCAGTGGGTCCCCAAGCTTTCCCTGTCTACTTTCTGGTTGAGTTACCGGTTTTGAAATTTCAGCTTTTTAATCTTCTGAGAAATTAAGTTCTGTTCGTGGTATACATCAGTATATTTAAGGTCTATAGGCGTAGACCGAAATTTTAAATGTATATATACACTTAAACTGACAGTTTTCGTCTGCGCCTATAGTCCTTTTATATACTGATGTATACTGCGAACAGAAATTGATTTCTCAGGAGACTACAAAGCTGAAATTAGGACTATTATTTAGGTATATGTCGAGGTTACGGTTGGGACAAGAGAATATGTACCCTTCTTCGAATTATGCGCCGGGCCGCCTTAACTACCTGTGCGGCGTGTTCCTTTTTTCGTATCCAGCTTTGGGGACCATATAAGTAATCCATACC